TAAATGAAATGAGAATACTAGTACAGCCCATTTGCAGCCCGGAGGCCGAATTGTGAGACTTGTTTACAAACACAGTTAGGTATCCATACTACTACAAATACATACTAAGATGTTAACGGTCAATCACATATATTATTTTAGTCAGCGATGTTATAGATAGAATTTGAGAACACATTAAAAAGTACTCTAAAAATTTACAGGCAAATGGCTAAAATCCACAATAACATTGTAGGACAGAATTAACAAAGAGTGGGGTGATAACATTATCAAGGCTATGAATTGTTTATTAAACGTGTCATGTGGGGGATGGCACTGTTCCTGTATCGGTCTGTTTTACAACGCTGTACAAATGTAAGTTCAGATTGTTCTAAGAGCGAGTGTGGCGACTGCTGATACTCTGTCTTACGGGTGGAAGGAAGTGTCGGTACAACTGGGAAGTCAGGAGTGACTTAGCAAACTTTAGAGTCAAGTTGGATCGACGTGTGTGGAGTGTAGGCAAGTCGAGGAGAGAGCACCCTTCAGCATAGCCAGTGTAATCAGTTCCTACTACGTGCGTGTTGGTGCACGTAGCTTAGCCGTGTGACAGAGTGCTTTTTGTTGTCCTTAGGGCTTTGAGGCGGGTGAGTTGTCATGCTAATCCACTGAGCTTTACTGATGCTAACCATATCTTAGGCTAAAAACATGCATAGCAAATAACCTGTATCTGTTAGTAGATATCCAATTAGGCTTCTTCCAATGAGAATCTGTAATCCCCTGGCTGTTTGCATATGGCCCCTTTTCTTTTGAGTCCTAGCTATGGGCCATAGTTGGGATTAACTGTGATTCCTACACACAGCATGTAACCTGTACTATTCTGAAGGCATTTGTCCACCACAGGGTGAGTAACACATGTATCAAGCCCCAGTCACTCACACATTGCATCTCGAACGCTAGCCGATCTCCATCGAAACATGGTTAGGACTAGGTCGGAGCAATGTCGGCTATGTTTTGTTGGTGTTCGGCAAGGCCGACTACTTTGGCTGGACCAGCCGATGTTTTACAATTTTTAAAACATTTATGGTGGCCGGGAGGTCCAGCCATGATTGGCAGGTGGTTGACTGATGTTTGTGGCTCAAATTTACCTTCAATTTATCTAAAATTTAACTAAATCCGATTGAGGTTTATTGAGAAAAAGCTCTCCTTTAGTTGCCCACCCGAGGGTGGCAGCTATTCTTCCAGGAGAGGGTACATAATACATAACAATACATCACATACAATTACATATACATTTACATTACATAGTATTTTAAAAGAAAACAAGTGTGTAACATTGTATGATTGTGCTGTACCTATTCATGTCCCTCATGTCTTTTAGCAAGCCTTGTTTGAACTTCCCATGTTATGTCACTGTTTTCAGCCCATGAGGTAGAGAGTTCCATGCTGCAGTAGTTCTGTATGTGAAGGCTTTTTAGTGCTTTTTTATTTTTGGTTTGTCTAGTTTGAAGGTGTTCCGAGTGGCATATCTGGTTCTGTAAGTGTATTGATGCGATACCGGGTACAGTTGATTGTAGAGTATGGCTGGTTGTTTGGAAGACAGGATTTTTTTGAAAGTGCAGATGTTATTGATGTTAAGTCTCTCCTCCACGGTCTGCCAGGACAGTTCCTCGTGAATCTGATTCACCCTGGTACGGCGATCACATTTCAGAATATCAGTTGCCCTGCTTTATTTTGTAGCGTTTGTACTGCAGTAATGATTCGTATAGAATCGTACAGATAGTGCAGATTCGTATAGAAAGAAAGGAAGCCATGGCGTTTGTCGGCTGGTGTTCGGGAGCAAGATCCTAAATGACAGGGGCTTCAGACTCAGGTTAAATACGTCCTACACTAGATTTGAGGCAGCAAATTGAGAGCATTATTTGTCGGCTTGGAAAACGTACATCAGGACGAAGAATTTTTTTGTTGAGCCTAATCCTTTTACAGAAAAAGCAACAATTCATATCAAGAATATACGCAAATAGTTCCCATTTTTTTGCCTTGTTGTCTTATTATTATTTTTTTCGTTCCATAAGACTGCTCGGCCGGGCCTAGGTTTGGAAATGTGACCTAAGCATTATCTATGTTGACTGACCATTAGCCATATATATCAAATTATTATATGTTATAGTAATTTATTATTGGTTTGGTCGTAGCCTAAAATCGTATAAAACAACATGGCCTGTTTTACATGGTTTGTTTCCTATTTAGCGAGAGTTGTGATGTAAATGACAAATACACATATGGTTTACAGACTGAAATACCTTAATTTTACATTTATGCTCTTACAAACTAAAGGTAGGCCATACAAAGATCTCTGTACAGGACAGTAATATAATTTGTTATCTTTTTACATCTATAGTATATTTATAAAATATGTACAGGTTCTAGTTCTTCTCGTTTCTTCAGACAACTTCAAATGGAAGTACAGATAGAACTTGTAATATACGGATTATGGGAATTTATGAGGAATATGAATCCTTGCTCTCTGAATATTTACAATTGGGGAAATGGTATTGCATACAATTAAAGAAAATATTTCTCTAGTCGCCATATATGGTACAGTTCAAAATGAAATGACCCTCGTCTTCAATGTTAATAATGTTACAATATCGGTGGATTTTTGTTGCAAAAAATTCAATGTAAAGATACGCCACTCGGTAAAAAAGTTGTAATAGTAGTTTTATTGACAACACTCCATGGTACATGGCAGCGTCACAAAAACGTAGCGTCTACGTTGCCTTATATTGGCATAGAATTAGACCCAAACTCTTTGCGTCTACATTAATTGATACATGTAGCTAGTTTCAATATGTTCTGAACATACGTTCCGTGTTATTGGCTTTATGTCAATGTAATTAGTTTTCTTTCCATATTCATTACGTTTTCTTTATCTATTTGTCTATTAAGCCAACTTCGTCCAGGCAAGACGACAGACATGATGATGCCTATTATCATTTATATATCTATGAATGAATTGTGTGTGGGTCTTAGATTCGCAACCTGTTATCCACCTTAAATAAATCCACGCAATGCAAAAATAGGTAGATATATAAAGGAATGCTTTGCTATTAGAAAAAATACCGAAACTTGTGATTAGCCCACCTGATTGTAACACTTTGTCAACGACTTGTGATATCCCTTATTATTTGAATGATTATGACATAGATATGTTAGGTTTTATTCGACATTAGGTCTTATTCAACACACTTATTTTATTGTTTTTACTCTCTTTATGTAGTTTGCCATACAATTTACCATGTGCATTTGTCGTGCAATAAAGTTCTCTCTATAAGGACTGACACACTCACTATACTTGGAAAATCTGTATCTGTACATGAATCTGTATCTGTGTATGAATATGTATCTGTACATGAATCTGTATCTGTGTACGAATATGTATCTGTACATGAATCTATATTAATTTTTTTATTCCAACATTTCATGACTAGACATAGTGACGGCGCACTCAAGATTTTATGGCGTCACCAATACAGAAGACAAATACAGAATACTCATTTTCACTTGAGTTAAGCAAGGAACGTTGTGCCTTTTCCAAGGGCACAAGAACGGTGGCATGCCAGGACTCGAACCCGGGACCACACACATAAATCTATATTCGGATGCAAATCAAAATCATGATGAAGAAGGTTGATAGCTCATACATATGTACGAATTATTTTCTGTGGTAAAAAGAAAAAAAATGAAATGAAAGATATAAATAAGCCTTTTGTTGTTTGTTTGTAGGAGGGTGCGTCCTGGGTGGGGAACAGCATGGGAGTTAGAAACGTCCCAGCCACATCTGCGCCCTGGCTGTGGCTACTCCTACTTCTGATATCTCCGTGTTGGGCAGACTTCCTGAGTTTCGAACCCGGCGTGGAGTACACGTACAGAATCCAGACCGTGTCTAAAGTATCCAAAGTGGAAGAACCGTTCCATATCAGCGCCCAGGTAAGTACAATCTTACTCTATGTTGTTTGGGGATTGCAAAATTAAGGACTGTGGTAGGTTGGATTATACGAATTTGTAGCAAAGTTCTATAAAACTGCAGTGGAATTTTAGCTTTCCGTATCTTTTGACCGGTCTGGTTACGTTTAGAAACTCTAGTAGATTCGTTTGAAGCTGTAAGCGCGTTTTTGTTCAAAAGCTTCAAAGAGAGGAACTCAAGAATAAAGCAATGGAATTCTAGAATTATGTAAGTAGTGTATGTTGACTTTTGATCATATTTATATATTATATAAACAGTTTCTTTTCTTTGTGTTTTTTCTATTTCTTGTTTTTCTTTACTAGAAGAAATGGCGACGACACACTCAAATTTTTAAACTAATTTTAAGACAAACAAACGCATAAACGAGCAACAGACCTGCTTATTTTTACAAAGGCAAAGGGAGAAAATTTGTTTAACACACAAGATCGGTGCATTCGACTTTGTGACCTCTTTGTTCAGAGCCGAACGCTTTGTCGTTACGCCACATGGCCCAACATCTTTGTGGTTGGAAAAGCATAACTCAAAAAGTTAAGAACGAATTCTGGGCACTTTATTTGCTTTCCTTGATACTGCATTGGAGCGTGTGGTTTTGATATATTCTGGACAAGCTATGTTCACGAGGTAGATAGCCTTTGTGCTTGGTAAGATGTAACAGCGGGGCTTCTCACAGCTTCCTTTGGAACTGCAGCTTGCAAAATTTAAAAAGGATAATTACTAAAGGGATCGAATAATTTCCCTTTTTTTTTACCTTTTAGAAACTTTGATAAACAGCAAGGTAATGAAATGTAAATTATGAAATTTAGGACTTGCCTAACATAAAGAAAATGATTTGTCTTACAATTCTGCTTAATGACGGTGCGTCATACTTATTATGTAACCTGGATCGAGGGAAACCCTAATTAACACAAAACGCAACCATTCACTGATTTACATGATTATTGAGAAACCTTTACCTTACTGGTTAATCAGGAAACATTTTTACATTTGCTGAAATGATAATAGGTGAGCTTTCAACATGTAAACGACACTGAAGATGGACAAGAATGTCTGTTAAGGGTTCACAGCATAATCTGGAAACACGGACCAGATCAAGGTGAGAATCCGTGGATAGTAGGTAGTCGTATGAAATATATACGTGGTTTGCTTTTAATAAAATTCAAACATTTTCGACTAGTCTGTGACGCAAAAAGTTATGTCATATTTGGAAATTTATGGAAAATAACATTAAGTTTATTTATATTTGTATTTCCTGTCTCTAATTACAGCAATTCAGACACAAGAGAAAGACTATTCAAAGTGGTGAGTGTGTAGAAATATTTCGTAAGAATTTTGTAGCGTAGAATGAATTTCCTTTCTTAGAATAGATAATGACTTGGCTATGGATTTCAAATAAAGGATCGCGGATGATCTAAATGTATGTCCCGAACGTTAATACCCTTGATTCGCAAGAGAGTGAACTGTAGAATGAGCAATGATGTAACAAGAATACCCGTCAATCTAATGTTAAGATTGTAAGACTTGTGAGTCCATCCCAATCTTTTCTTCTTTTCTCCCTTTCTTCCTACATCCATTCCTCCCTGCCTTCCTTCCAACCTTCCTTTATTTCTTTCTATCTTTTTCTTCCTTCCTTCCTTCCTTCCTTCCTCCCTACCTTCCTTCCTTTCTTCCCCCTCCTTTTTTCCTCCCTGCCTTTCTTCATCCCTACCCTCCTTCCTTACTTTCTTTCTTCCCTTAATCATTCATTGTTTCCTTATTTCCTTCCCCCTGCCTTTCTTCCTCCCTGGCTTCCTTCCTTTCTTCCTTCCTTCCTCCCTGCCTTCCTTCCTTTCTTTCTGCTTTTTTCCTCCCTGGCTTCCTTCCTTTCTTACTTCCTTCCTTTCTTTCTTCTCTCACTGCTCCCTTGTTTCCTTACTTCCGCTGCCTTTTTCTTCCCTGGCTTACTTCCTTTCTTTCCTTTCTTCCCTCACTCCTCCCCTGTTTCTTTACTTCCCCTGCCTGTCTTCCTCTCTGGCTTCATTCCTTCCCTTCTTCCCTTACTCCTCCCTTCTTTCCTTTCTTCCTTCCCCTGCCTTTCTTCCTCCCTGCTCCCCATTCTTTATTCTCTCATTCTGTTCTTCTTTTTTTTGTTGCCCAAACTGACATGGCGGTAACATGAGTTATGAAGCTCATACTTTTCTTTAAGTGAAAGTAGACACGTATAAATAAAAATTATATATGATTTATAAAGAGATGCTATTATCATAACAACATTCTTTAGTTTGAAAATGCCAACGGGTGAAGAGATCTAGAATCCACTACTATAATTTATGCGAATGCGTCTCCTATTTACATAATCAATGAGAAAAAAATTACAATTTAGTCTTAAAGGTTTACATCATTTGGCGAAGGTATGAGGTTGTGTTACTATTTTTTTATTAATATACAATGATGAAGTTGACATTTAAAATGTCCCTTGGCCTGTCTCCTTTACATATAATCCAATACAATTACATTGTGATATTTATTACAATAATATTAGATATATTGATATTGTTTTATTTCCAATTATGTTACCAGGTTCTCGTTCAAGATCTCTGGCCGAGGGGAGATCCCTGACGTGTGGTATCAACCACCGGAGGATCCCGAAGTCGTCAATACGAAGAAAGGAATTCTGGGTTTCCTATCAGCCAAGTTACACCACAATCTTGAAGTAAGTCCATTCCCTTTAAAACATGAGAAGAAAAGTTGATTTTGACTTTGTGTGCGAAAACCGCTATCTAGCATTGGTGCTGCAAGGCTTTTAATTTCTAATAAACCATTCTCTCTCTCTCTCCCTCTCTCTCTCTCGCGCTTTTCCTCTATCTCATGCTCTCTCTATCTCACGCTCTCTCTCTCTATTTAACGTTCTCTCTATCTCACGCTCTATCTCACGCTCTATCTCACGCTCTCTCTCAATTTCACGTTCTATCTTTCTCACGCTCCATCTCACGCTCTCTCTATTTCACGTTCTCTCTATCTCAAGCTCTCTTTCTCACGCTCTCTCTATTTCACGTTCTCTCTATCTCACACTATCTCATGCTCTCTCTATATCACGCCCTCTCTCTCTATTTCAAGTTCTGTCTCTCTCACTCTCTCTCTCTATTTCATGTTCTATCTCAAGCTCTCTCTATCTCACGCTTTCTATTTCACACTGTCTATCTACGCTCTCTATCTATCACGCTCTCTCTCTCTATCACGTTCTTTATTTCACACTCTCTATCTCGCGCTCTCTTTTGCCCGCGATCTTTCTATTTCACACCCTCTCTATCTTACACTCTCTCTATCTCTCTCTCTCTCTTACTCTTTCTCTATCTCACTCTCTCTTTATTTCACGTTTTATCTATCTCACGCTCTCTCTAACTCACGCGCTCGCTCTCTTACGCTTCCTCTTTACGCTCTCGCTCCCTATTTCACGCTCTCTATCTCATGATCTCTCTATCTCACGCTCTCTCTCTCTATTTCTGGTTCTCTCTATCTCACGCTCTCTCTATATCACGCTCTCTCTCTATATATATATATATCACGCTCTCTCTCTCTCTCTATTTCACGTTCTCTCTATCTCACGCTCTCTCTCTCTCTCTCTATTTCGACCTCTTTCTATCTCACGCTCTCTTTTTTAACGTTCTCTCTATCTCAAGCTCTCTATCTCACGTTCTATCTCTTTTACGTTCTATCTATCTTACGCTCTTTCTATCTCACGCGCTCTCTCTGTTACTCTTTCTCTCAAGCACTCTCTTTTTCTATCTCACGCTCTCTATCTTATGCTCTCTCGATCTCACGCTCTCTCTCTCTCACGCTCTCTCTCTCTATTTCGACCTCTTTCTATCTCACGCTGTATCTTTTTAACGTTCTCTCTATCTCACGCTCTCTCTCTATTTCACGTTCTTTCTATCTCACGCTCTCTCTATATAACGCTCTCTTTCTCTATTGCACGTTCTCTCTCTCTTACGTTCTCTCTCTCTATTTCACGTTCTCTCTCTCTTACACTCTCTCTTTCCCACGCTCTCTCTCTTACTCTTTCTCTCTCTCACTATCTCTCTCTTTTTTCACGCTCTCTCTCTATCTCAAGCTCTCTCAATCTCAAGCTCTCTCTCTATCTCACACTCTTTATCTCACGCTCTATCTCTCTCACGCTCTCTCTATTACGTTCTTTATTTTACACTCTATCTCACGCTCTCTATTTCACACTCTCTCTATCTCACGCTCTATATCTATCACGCTCTCTCTCTATCACGTTCTTTATTTCGCACTTTCTATCTCGCGCTCTCTTTTGTCAGCGATCTCTATCTATCTCACGCTCTCTCTCTCTCTCTCTTACGCTCTCTCTCTCTCACCCTCTCTTTTTCACGTTCTCTCTATCTCACGCTCTCTCTCTCTCTTACGCTTCCTTTTCACGATCTCTCTATTTCACGTTCTCTATCCCTCACGCTCTCTCTGTATTTCACGTTCTCTCTATCTCACGCTCTCTATCTCATGCTCTCTCTATTTCACGTTCTCTCTCACGCTCTTTCTCTCTATTTCACTTTCTCTCTACCCCACGCTCTCTGTCTCACGCTCGTTCTGTCTTGCGCGCTCTCTTTCCTTATTTTACGTCCTCTCTATCTCCCACTCTCTAACCCACACTCTCTTTCTCTATTTCAAGTTCTATCTCAAGCTCTCTCTATCTCACGCTCCCTGACGCTCTCTCTCCCTCTATTTCACGATCTGTCTCACGCTCTCTCCATCCCACGTTCTCTCTCTCTCTCACGGTTTCTCTCTCTCAATTTAACGCTCTTTATCTCACGCTCTCTTTCGTGTGCGCTCTTTCTATTTCACGTCCTTTCAATCTCACGCTTTCTCTTAATCACGCTCTTTCTCACGCTCTCTCTTTCTATTTCACGTTCTATTTCATGCTCTCTATCTCACTCTCTCTATCTCACGCTCTCTCTCACGCTCTATCTCTATCTCACGCTCTCTCTCTCTCACGCTCTCTCTCTCAAGCTCTCTCTCACGCTCTCTCTCTCACGCTCTCTCTGTCACGCTCTCTCTCACACGCTCACTCTCCCTCTATTTCACGCTCTCTCTATCCCACAATCTTTCTATTTTACGCTCTCTCTATCCCACGCTCTCTATTTCACGCTCTCTCTCTCTCTCACGCCCTCTCTCTATTTCACGTTCTATCTCACGCTCTCTATCCCACGCTCTCTCTCACGCTCTCTCTCTATTTCACGCTCTCTCTATCTCACGCTCTCTTTCTCTATTTCACGTCCTCTCTATTTCACGTCCTCTCTATTTTAAGCTTTCTCTATCTTACGCTCTTTCTCTCCCTCTCTAACGTTCTATCTTACGCTTTCTCTCTCTCACACACTCTCTCTACCTGAAGCTCGCTCTTTCTCACGCTCTCTCTCTTTCTATCTCACGCTCTCTCTTTCTATCTCACCTTCTCTCTTTCTATCAAACGCTCTCTCTCTTTCTATCTCACGCTCTCTCTCACACTCTCTCTTTATCTCAAGCTCGCTCTATCTCACTCTCTCTCTCTTTCTATTCTACGCTATCTCTCTTTCTATCTTACGCTCTGTCTCTTTCTATCTCACGCTCTCTTTCTATCTCTCTAATGAAGGTAATGAAATAAACAGGTTACACACCTCTTACTATGACAACCCCTGATTGGTGACACTCGTCTTGCTTTGATTAACACATTTTACTTGGTTGTCTTTTACATTGCCTATTTACAGTAAAGCCTCGGTCACAACTCGCCGTGCGTGCTTTTTGTCCGTACGTTTTTGTCGTGGCTACGTCTGCTACGTTTTTTCTGCAAACGTAGGGTGGCCGGCCGAGGGAGTACGTCACTCGCACGGTTGCGCAAGGTGTACGTACGTGGTCTGCACGACACGCCTGGCCGTCAGCGGTTGCGTGCATCGTACGTTGCGCAAGTGGTAAATGAGTTGTACGTGCTTACAACGCACGATCTCTGTGCGATTGCTACGTTGCCGCGTACAGGCCGTACCTACACGTGCGGCGTACGCACGGTTTCCTTACTCACTCGCACGTTGTAAGTGCGTGCACCTCCTGTTAACTTCATCATCACTAGCCGCCCTGGTGTCTTCCGCGGCCCGTTTCTTTGGGTCTTGTCTGGTAGTCTTCTTCTGAGCCTTCCTGGGCATCTTGGAGACGAGTTGGCAGTCGCCGGTCAAGTCGTCTTTATATACTGTAGAAATCAGGTGCGTTGCACGTGCGTTGCACGTGCGGAGCACCTGGTATGGTGCACGTGTGTTCTGCGTGGTCATTGAACAGGTCAACTGGGAAGTGAGGAGTAAGCACGGATGACGCAAGCACCGTGCGTGGCACGCACATGCTTCGTGCGCTGTCCGTACAGCAATTGCACGTGAGAATAGTGAAGTTAGACTCACGGAGTCCGTACCTTGCACGCTCATAGGCTGTACGGGGCACGCGCGTCGCACGTACTCGCACGCACGGGTGGTAAATCCGCAGACCGCACGTAGAAAAAGTATTACTACGGCGTGTCTGCGTGCTCCCAAATCCGTAGGATTCCGTACGGAGGTGGTACTCACCACGCACGGATGCCGTGCGATTGCCCACGTTTTTTTTTTTTTTTTTTTATTTGCTAAATTCAACAAGGACAATACAAGACAAGGTGGTGAGGTACTCTAGCTGTTGCTAATTTTAGCCTCACCACCAAACATAGAATAACAATTAACAATAACAAT